AAAAGTGTACTTCCCATCTGTATCAGCGCAATTCTGCCTCAAATCTTCTAAACTGACCGGCAGCCACATCTGCTGAGACCCAAATCCATCACGAGTCACCATTTGGCTACTGCAAACTTGCTTGACATAGGAGACACCTGCTTGACTGCAGCATACAAGTAAATTAAGTTGAAATTTACGTCTTTCACCAGGGTAAGCCAGCTTGTGTTTCAATAGAAAATATATACGAATATATTTATGTGACTTCGCTGGTCGTTGTTCAGCTGAACTAACTCTGTCACTATTATTATCTGATTCCAGAAACTGAGAGGTGATGGTCCATTAGGTCTTGTCACCTAAGTCAGCATTTGACGACGTTGCTGACAAGGGCATACTTTTTACCGAAATTGGGTGGACTGCATGTGTTGGATTCGATTGAAAGTTCTTTCTTGCAAATGGGAGACAGAATCGCTGTTTGGTCTTAGTTTTTGATGAACTTCGGCTACTTCCATACACATAGCAGCGAAGGGCTTCAGAGATGTGTTCCTTGCTTGAACTAGGTAGTGCACTTTTTGCATGGTAACGAAAAGCTGGCACAATATATTCAAGAACATAGTGATCAGAATGCTCTTTCACAAAATCATCGTTGAGGAGCTCATCCAAATGTTCCAAAGGCATTGTTTTAAAACGAATTAGTGGCAATAACTCACAGAGAATCTTGACTGGAGAGCGTTTATTTGACTTCGTTAATTTCAACCATTGGATCACCCAATGGTGAAGAGTGAACTCATCAGGAACTGTCAAGTCATCTCGTTTAAGGAGCTCTTTCAGAAATGTGATATCAAACCTATAAAACTCATGATTAGCTTCAAACATTATCAAGTTTAATGCAATAAATTGTATCAGTTTTTCTTTCAGTTTGGATTCCAAGTCTCCAGGCCTGTCAGCACACTTCATCCATGCCATAACACGTTTGATATCAGGATTCACATTAAAATTATCAATCATGAACTCTAGGCAAGAATTTTTCAGCGGTGTTACCATGTACTTGTCTGCTAATATATAATAATGAAGGACAGTATACACTGAAATCTTCAACTGGTTAGTGTAGATATACTTTAGAAATCCTTCAAATAACTCATGGCATTCTTCTACTACCTCTAGAGTTACAACCTTTTGGTCTTTTTCTTTCCAATTCTGGGTAAACATTCGTTCGAAGTATTCACTACTATTGACGAGAATCATGCGGTGAGCTGGAAACTTAAACTCTCCAACTTGCAGTACCACATCACTAAGCTCTCTATTGTTGAAGAGATTCAACATTTTTTCACCCAGGTCACTGTGGTCATCTATCAATTTCTCAGTATCTTTGAGCGTTTCATTATCATTCTCAGCATAGCAATGATGTTCAGTATTCTGCATAGTGTATTTATTCATTTTCAGATCTGTAAATACCAATGAATACAATTTGAGATGTTTTGCACAAGTTTATGACAAGCAGCCTGTTAGCTGAGATAGCTTTGCTGTTAGCAATGCACAATACAATTAAAGAACTGAAGATATCATTAGAAAATGAACAATATGTATAGTATCAAAGCAACCAGACTTGCGCTTTTCAACAAGAAGTCAAAAATATCACTTTTTACCAAAAATTACAAAAATATTCACCAAAATAAGAGAATTAAAGATATCATTACAAAATGAACAAATCTGAGAAAGGTCCACATGTAGTACCTATATATGTAATATCAAAACAATTGGACTTGGGGTTTTTAACAAGAAGTTGAAAATATCACTTTTCACCAAAAATGACAATAATGTTCACCAAAAACTAGAGAATTTAAAGCTATCAACACGAAATGAACGAATCTGAGAGAGCACTACCTGTAGTACCTATATATGTAATATCAAAGCAATTGGACCTGCAGTTTTTAACAAGAAGTCAGAAATATCACTTTTCACCAAAAATGACAAAAATATTGAAATGAACAAATCTTAGAGAGGCCTACTCAAGGTACATATACACCAAGTATCAAAGCATTTAGGCTTGTAGTTTTCAAGAAGAAGTCGAAAAGTAAAACATTGACACGGATGCCGACAGACAATCGCTCATATGATAAAAAACACATACACTCTCATAATCAGCTGATATGGGTCACTACATTATACATTATTATGTATTATACAATACATTATTTTTTATTTGCCAAGAATTCGCTTATTGAATCAACCTTGATGAACAATAATATATTTTGAATTTGAATCAGTCATTGAAAATTTCTGTATAGGCACAAGAGTGTGCAACATACCGAACCTTGACTGACTAGTACTCCAATTTGTGTATGCGGCCCCTCAATGGTATTTATTTGAAATGTTGCAGCACAGATTGGAGAAACTAGGCAAGTTGAGAGCTGAAGATGGCAATATAGTTGACTGGTAATTATTGGTAACATAAACTCAATTTCTGTGATAAAACTGCTAACAAGTCTTACACATGGAGAGTGTCATGGTAATAATTGGCAAACAATGTTAGGAACTACTGTAAAATACTTTATTTTCGCTATTTTCGCAGGAGGAATGACTCAGTGAAAATAAAACCCAGCGAATATACTTTTTTTTCCTTTATTTTACATCCAACTTACCAAAAATCAGTGGAAATAAATTCCATACAAAACACCCAAAAAGTCTTTTTAGCAAAAAATTAGTATTTAAAAAAAAAAAGTATTTTACATAACAGTAAGTCATAAATAAATGACAACTTCCCAGCAGAGGGTTACCATGTATTATATTAGTTACTGCATTGGATTTAGTCACAACATGGACCAAACATGAACCAACAAACCATGATCCATGGTCACAATCACATGGTAGTATACCATGGAACTACAAACTACTTTAGTTCAATGAGTATAGTAAGTTCATGTTTGAATTTTGAGAGGGCTTTTATTTTCAAAGGCTGTTCAGTTGTAATTAGCATATAGAAAGACAAAAATGTGTTACTGGGTAACTCCATTTTAGATTTTGCAAAGAATTGTGGGACAGAAAATTGAACTGTAGAGGGCGTTGGGAGGGGGGGTTGCATCTTTTCCATAGACTAAAGAGCCTTACTATATTAAAAGCAGCTGCTAAATTACCTTTCCTGTTTTCAAGCAACGCACTAATTTTTAAAAAAAAACTTATGGCTATACTGTTGGGACTTTCCATTAATTTTGCTGGAAAGAATGTTTTGAAAATATTATTTTTTAGATTTTTCACTATTTTTGGTAAGAGTATCTGATTTTTACTCTTACATTCATATTTATTATGTTTTATTATTTTCCATGTCACAGTTTCATCTATCTTTTTTACTAACAAGTTTTGGTTGAATTTAAATCAGTTTTAGAAGACATCTTTGATGATGATGATATGAAGACCCACCCCACCACCACCACCACCTTTCAAAAATATGCCACGCACCCTCCTGAGGTCTTTACATTATGCCTCCAACTAAAATATTGAATCCCAGTAACAGGAATGTAACTCAGCATTAAATTCCCACATTATCAGTTCATTACACAGACAGGTATTTTATTCAACTGAGGTTACACCACTCTCAAAAAAGGTGTCAGTCACTCTTTACAAATCTAGTCTAAATTGTGAAGTCCTCCATTGTTTTAGTTCTGTCACCCACTTGAAATGTATTCTAAAACTGGTTTGGATTCAACTAAAATTTTTAGTGGACAAGATAGATAATTTTTTTTTTT